TCAGTTTCTAACAATATAGCCTTACAGGTTCAGTTTCACGGAGTCAGTTTCTAACAATATAGACTTACAGGTTCAGTTTCGCGGAGTCAGTTTCTAGCAATATAGCCTTACAGGTTCAGTTTCACGGAGTCAGTTTCTAACAATATAGACTTACAGGTTCAGTTTCGCGGAGTCAGTTTCTAGCAATATAAACTTACAGGTTCAGTTTCACGGAGTCAGTTTCTAACAATATAGACTTACAGGTTCAGCTTCACGGAGTCAGTTTCTAACAATATAGACTTCCAGGTTCAGCTTCACGGAGTCAGTTTCTAACAATATAGACTTACAGGTTCAGCTTCACGGAGTCAGTTTCTAACAATATAGAGTTACAGGTTCAGCTTCACGGAGTCAGTTTCTAGCAATATAAACTTACAGGTTCAGTTTCACGGAGTCTGTTTCTAACAATATAGACTTCCAGGTTCAGCTTCACGGAGTCAGTTTCTGACAATATAGACTTACGGGTTCAGTTTCGCGGAGTCAGTTTCTAGCAACATAAACTTACAGGTTTAGTTTCGCGGAGTCAGTTTCTAGCAATATAGACTTACAGGTTCAGTTTCACGGAGTCTGTTTCTAACAATATAGACTTCCAGGTTCAGCTTCACGGAGTCAGTTTCTAGCAACATAAACTTACAGGTTTAGTTTCGCGGAGTCAGTTTCTAGCAATATAGACTTACAGGTTCAGTTTCATGGAGTCAGTTTCTAACAGTATAGACTTACAAGAGTTGTTTCATACAACAGAGTAACAGGGGCAGTGTCTAACAATATACATTTTCAGGGTCAGTTTCTAGAACATAATTACAGGAGCAGTTTTACTAATACATACAGGAGCAATGCCTAACAATATATAGGGGCAACGTCTATCATTATAGGTTTAAAGAGACAGTATCTAACAATATATACATACAGGGGCAGTGTATATCATTATATGTTTAAGGTACAGTGTCTAACAATATATATACAGGGGCAGCGTATATCATTATAGGTTTAAAGGGATAGTATCGAACAATATATACATACAGGGGCAGTGTCCATGATTATATGTTTACAGGGACAGTGTCTAACAATATATACAGGGGCAGCATCTTTCATTATAGGTTTAAAGGGATAGTATCTAACAATATATACATACAGGGGCAGTGTCTATCATTATATGTTTACAGGGACAGTGTCTATCATTATAGGTTTAAAAGGATAGTATCTAACAATATATACATACAGGGGCAGTGTCTATCATTATATGTTTACAGGGACAGTGTCTAACAATATATATATATACAGGGGCAGCGTCTATCATTATAGGTTTAAAGAGACAGTATCTAACAATATATACATACAGGGGCAGTGTCAAACAATATACATAAAGGGGCAGAGTTTATCAATATAAAGTTTATCAGAGTCAGGTTCTAGCAATAGATTTACAGGAGCTGTGTGTATCGGTAAAACCAATAGGGCTGTTCTAGCAAAAGTCTGATAATATAGTCTTCTAGAAACAGACTTACCGCAACGGTTTCAGTAATACATATAATAGCAGTGTCTAACAATATAGACTTACAGGGACACTGGGTATCAATATAGACTTAAAGGAATAGTTTCTAGTAACAGACCTATAGGGACAGTGTCTAACAATATAGAAGTACAGGGGCAGTTGCTAGCAGCAGTCTTAAAGGGACAGTGTCTATCAATAAAATATTACAAGGGAGGTTCCTAAGAAAAGACTTACAGTTGCACTGTCTAACAATACAAACTTACAGGGGTATTATCTAACACCTTACAAGGGAAGTGTCTAACAACATAGATTACAAGGGCATTGGGAATCAATATAGACTTACAAGGGCAATGTTTAATAAATAAGATTTAAAGCGGCAGATTCTAGCAACAGAGTTACAGGTGCAGTGTGTAGTAACAGACTTACAAGGGAAAAGGCCTAACAACAGAGGAAGTGCTTAGAAATATAGACTTATAAGATCGCTTATAAAAATATAAACATACAGCGACAATGCCTAATAATATATGCTTACAGAGGCAGATTCTTGCAAGATTTACAGAGGCAGATTCTTGCAAGATTTACAGGGGCTGTTTCTAGCAATACTTTCAGGAGTATATTTTACTGATACGTTGAGGGGCAGATTCTAACAATAAAGACTTACATGAGCAGTGTCTAACAACATATATGAATTTACACGGGGATTGTGTACGAATATATATATTTACCTGGCGTGGCCAGGTGGTTAGGAAGTTCGATTCGCAATCTGGGGGTCGCGGGTTCGAATCCCCCTCCCACCAAACATATTCGTTGGTAAAATGAGTAGCCCAAGAATTGGCAGTGGGTGGTGATAAGTAGCTGACTTCCCTCTAGTCTTGCACTGCTAAATTAGGGACGGCTAGCGCAGATAGCCCTCGTGTAGCTTTGCGCAAAATTCAAAACAAACGTCGCGACGTCAATATATCGCACGTGACGTTCGATATTCTCAACATCAATGAATTATAAACATAACTTCCTACAATCATCTGCTTTTAACTCTTATTATAACAAACTAAACAATAATAAAACATTCACTCAGAAAACTAAATTAATTAATAATATCTAAACGAAACAGTCGTTTATATCATGACATAAACCCTTCTTCAAGTTAAAATATTTACTTTTTTAATATAT